CCGGTGGTGGTGCGGCGGCTGTGGCGGCGGGGAAGGGGGCGGCGGCGGGGGCGGCGGTGGCGTGCGCCGGCAACAGCGAGGGGGTCGAGCTGCTCGCGGAGCGGGAGTATGCGGCGGGCGGCGAGGCGCGCGTCGTCTGCTGCGGCGTCAGCGCGAGCGGCGCGCTCGTTGCCTCGCGGCTCCTCTTTCTGCACTGCACGAGGCCTCATCCCCACCCGCGGAACGGATTGACGGTAGGTGCTCTGGGGCTGTGGCTGATGCCACACTGGGCGCCTCTCTTCCACTCCGCCGCCCTGCCCGCCGCGCCCCCCCTCCTCGTCGACTCTGGCGAAGGGGGCGCGGGCGGCGGCGGCGGTGTGGGCGGCGGCGGCGGCGGCGGCGGCGGCGGCGGCGGCGGCGGCGGCGGCGGCGGTGGGTCGGCGGCGGTACACTCGCGCACGTTTGCGCTTGAGATCGAGCTGACGGCGCCGGCGGGAGAGGGGTGCGCCCCGGTCGTTGCGGTAGTGACTCGCGGGAGGGGTCTGCTGCTGTACCGGGCTCTGACCGGCGGCGGGCACGGCTTGCGGTTCGCCCGCTTGCCCCACTCCTACGTGTCGGCGGCGGCGGAGGCGGAGGCGGCCGAGGCGGGCGGCGGCGAGGCGGACGGCGGCGCGGCCCCGCTTCTGCCTGGCACCGACGGAGCCGGGGGAGATAGCACAGGGGGCGAGAGCACAGGGGGCGAGAGCAGAGGGCGGCTCGCCCTTTCCGCGCGCACGCCCGCGCTGGTCCGCATCCCGCGGCTCGGCGAGATTGAGCCGAGATTTCGCCGAGATTTCGCCGAGATTTAGCTGATATTTAGCCGAGATCGACAGGCGTAGATCTCGGCTGCATCTCGGCTGCATCTCAGCTGTATCTCGGCTGCCTATGAGGCCAGTATATCGGCTGCCCCTCGGCTGCATCTCGGCTGCATGTCGGCTGCATCTCGGCTGTCTCTCCCCTGGCCACGGCAGGCGCGACGCCGCCGCTGCTCGACTCGCTGCTGCTGCTTGGCGCACAGCCGCTCCTGCTCTGCTTCCTGCGCGGCGCGGTCTGGGCGCACGAGCTGAGAGTCGTCGGTCTGCCCGCGCGCCACGCGTTTACCGGCGCCGCGCCCTTCCACTCCCCCGCCTGCCAGCACGGCCTCCTGCTCGCCGACTCCGCCGGGCTGGTGCGGGTTTGCGGGCTGGAGCCGCCTCTTCATGAGTTAATGATTAGTGATCGGTTCACTAATTATAGGTGCGGGCCTGCAGGCTGGAGCCGCCTCTTCATGAGTTAATGATTAGTGATCGGTTCACTAATTATAGGTGCGGGCTTGCGGCCTGGAGCCGCCTCTTCATGAGTTAATGATAATATATCGATTCACTAATTATAGGTGCGGGCCTGCGGCCTGGAGCCGCCTCTTCATGAGTTAATGATAATATATCGATTCATTAATTAGGTGCGGGCTTGCGGCCTGGAGCCGCCTCTTCATGAGTTAATGATAATATATCGATTCATTAATTATAGGTGCGGGCTTGCGGCCTGGAGCCGCCTCTGTAATGGTTTTTGACTGACTGATTGATTAATTCATGACAGGTGCGTGTCTGCGCGCTGGAGCCGCACCCGCGAGAGTCGCGGCCGACAAAGTGCGCCTCGGACTGGCCCCTCTCCCAGTGTAGCTAGTTACTGACTTATCATCGATTACTTCATGCCGAGGTACGACTCGGACTGGCCCCTCTCCAAGATGCTGCTCAAGGGGACGCCCCACGGGGTGGTCCTGTTGCCGGCCGACAGGGCGATCGCCGTCGCGGTGAGCTTGCTGCGAGCAGAGGGAGAGAAGAGAGGGGGGAGGGGGGGGGGGGCAGAGTGCTCGCCGTGGGAGAAAAGATGGAGGGGGGGGTGGGGGGGGGGGGGGGGCCCTTATGAAAAAAAAGGGGAGGGGGGGGGGGGGGGGGGGAAAAAAGAAAAAAACCCCCCCCCTTTCTTCCCGAGGGTTTTTTTCCCCAAAAGGTTTTTCAAAAGGGGATTTCTTTCGGGGGGTTCCCCCGGGGGGAAAGGGGGGCCCTCCGCAAAAAAAAAACCCCGCCTTTCTTAAGGGGGGGGGGGTTTTTTTCCACTTTTTTTAAAGCAAGGGCCGCGGCGCCAAAAAAACCCCCCCCCCTTTTTTGGGGGGGGGCCTTTGTTCCCACTTTTTTAAAGCCAAGCCCGCGGGGGCAAAAAAACCCCCCC